TTTTGCAGGGGGCTGATTCTGCTTTTGTGGCAGACTACAGCGCCACTTACAGGCCTGGCATATGTACTACAGCGTCTCCAGTGCTTTCGAGCGGTCTCTCATTCCCCTGATAGGTGGAGAGTTGCCCATATACAGTAGGCGGAGCACCCCTTTTCTGACGTCAGAACAATTCAAATAATAATCAGCTCCGTTTTTAGAGATTTGGGTACGGAGGAAAAGAGGGAGGGTTGTGTTTTCTGACACTTGGTGAGTTCCCTGACACACCGGGGACACATATTCATGTAGTGCATTTTGCATGATAGGTCCCCTTTAAATAGAAGTACCAATACCGGATTGTCAAGTAAAAGTCCTGCATTTGCTTTAGTAAAATAATGTGTTATGCCTTATGGCCCATTTCAGAAATATGATAATTTGATATTAAATTACTGGATGATGATGAGTGATGCATTAACGTGTTCATAGGGTTAGGGTTATCATTGATAGGTAATCCTAAAACATTGAAACCAATGCAGAACTAGTTTGGATTATCTTTAAAAGGCCAACCCAATACCTGAAAGACTTTATTGAATTTCCCAGTAAAGAACCCCTTTGTTTAAGTGTGTGATCTCTGATTCCTCGCTCACTGTTTCTCCTCTCTGCTGCTGCTGCTGCTGCTGCTGCTATTGTTGGCACATGATCACCTGTGAAAATAAACTAGCCTTGCAGTCTTTGCATGAGACGTGAGAGCACGGCTGAAAATCTGAATGAGTACAACAGTAGTGAGACTGTTCTTCGGCTGATCGGTGTGAACGTCTGGACTGCAGGGAGGCAAAGTACTTTACTGGAAGTTCTGTCATTACCTTAGATCACCGTCAATGAAGCATGAGAGTATTTTCCAGCAAAATCTGGATCGGTGTGTACGGCAACCCTTTGAGGCCAATGAGGAGAGACAGTGTGTTTCTCCTGCATTTTAAAAGTTTTAAAAGTTTTTCCAGTATCCTTATTACAAGTTTCCTTTACTTTCTTTTTGTGTTTTTTGTTGTAATACCTATTTTGGCCACAAGAGGCTTACGTGCAATGCCACCCCAAGTACTAAAGCGAGTTCTTGGTTTCTTCCAGGTGTTTTAATTCCTCCATGTACTAGTTCTAGCCAATTTGCTGCCCTAGGCGAGATTTTAGCTCAATCTGGTGCACTTTGAGCACACAATTACTAGAGACTAGATCTAGGGGGTACAACTTTAAAAACACCTATTTGAAAAAGATCGGTTTACATTTTAATAATAAAATAAGTATGTGAACATAACCAATAACCTACCATAGCCAATAAAAAATGAATGTAACTTATTTTATTGTTGTTGTTCATTCATATCTTAATTTACCTAGTTAACATTTATTTATTTATGCATATTTTTTTATCTCTCCAGTTNTTGAACATTTTAAAGTAAAATGCTTCAATCTGGAGCACTTTTGAGTACACAATTACTAGAGACCTGATCTAGGGGGTACAACTCTAAAACACCGATATGAAAAAGATCGGTTTAAATTTTAATTATGAAATAAGTATGTGAACATAACCAATAACCTACCATAGCCAATAACAAATAAATGTAGCTTATTTTATTTTTGTTGTTCATTCATATCTTATTTTACCTAGTTAACATTTATTTATTTATGCATATTTTTGTATCTCTCCAACTTTAAACGATATTTTTGGTTAACTGTCCTATAGTATACATTGGAATGATTTCAAACCTGTTTTTATTTATCCTAATAATTATAAAGGAGTGCCTTGGNGCCTGACACACACACACACACACACACACACACACACACACACACACACACCAGTATGTATGAGTAAAACCAGCAAAACACATAATGCATGATAATATTCGGCCTATAATTATATATACAGTATATACCCATATGTACTGTTCATACTGCATATACTTTAGCTTGTTATATGTTAATACCTATATCCTTCTATAGATTACACTGCACTGCACTGTCGGTTTTGGTAAGACACTAACTGGTCTCAGCATTTGTATTTTGTGCAATGACAATAAGGTTGAATTTGATCGAAGGTAATTTAATAATGATGGCAAACACACATCAGTATGTATGAGTAAAACCAGTAAAACACATAATGCATGATAATATTGAGCCAATAATTATATGTCTTTATATTTATATTGTTCATACCCATGTACTGTTCATACTGTATACTTTAGCTTGTTTATATGTTAATACCTATATTCTAGTTTACACTGCACTGCACTGTCGGTTTTGGTAAGACACTAACTGCTCTCAGCATTTGTGCTTTTTGCAATGACAATAAAGTTGAATCAGAATCAGAAGGATACAGAATTGTATTTAATGTAATCTAATAATGATGGTACTGCAAACAGTAACATTACCATATGTTATTGTTTTTATTTGTATTGATACCGTTACTTTTTAGTTTTCCCTTATTTGAATGCTTATAAATCTTGTGTACTTGAACTTGTTTCTTATCTAATCTCATTTTATCTGACGTATCCTGTTTTATCTAATCGTACTAACCCTAACCCCTCCAAACCCCTTATGTGTCTGAGTCCCAGTCAAAATCTCCAAACGTATTTATACTGCACTAAATCCAGTTCTAAGAAACCTATTCCAATAATCCACCATGACCTTTTTTCACACACTCCTCATGTGTTTTCAGGAGAACATGTGTGTGACGTCTCCGGCCAATCCACCCAGCAGAGGCTCCAACATTTACATGTATGATTACAAAAGTGTGAAAGCTCAGCAAACCTTTGAAGGTACAAATTCAACAGTACAGTGAGGAGGAGAGCGAGGCAGCCCAATTAAGACCCTGACCATTATGGGCTTCAAATCCCCTCATCTGGTCGTCATAATCATGATCAGAATGAGAGAGTGATGAGAGGCGAGCAGGGCTTATATTCATGATATGTACATATTTAAAACATGCATCGTTTGAGATGATGTGGACCCGTCAGCTCTGTCCACATGGCTTAAAGATACGGAGGGTGTGATATATTTTCAATTTTCACACATTGCCCTGTGGATGTAATTAAATCGGATAGTCATTTGGAGCTCTGATGTTAAACACATGCAGGCCCGCGGTATAATGCCCTCAGTTTGTACTATTTCATGTAAGTACCGTACAGCGAGTACAGCTGGAAATGTATAGTGTTTGAATTAGATATTTGCATTCATGACAGGGAGTCGTTCAAACATATCTAAGGCTACAGCACGCACGCACGCACGCACGCACGCACGCACGCACGCACGCACGCACGCACGCACGCACGCA